GAGTTATTAAGATCTGCCGTTATAAAGGGTGAGATTAATATGGAATTTTTTGGTTCAGCGAAATTGGACCGGTATAAAGGCAAAACCGGTATAGACAATGCCGGTATAGACAGAGTTGACTGTATATAATTGGTGGCCGATCACCCCAAAGCCTGATTACATATATAATTGGTACCCGATTTTTAAGCAGTGTAAAAACATCAAAAGGATTTGCGATTTTCTTTAGTCTCACATTGCGAACGTAATGAAAGGTTCGCCCCGATATAGAATGTATTAAAATATGCACTTAAATGTGAGACTCAGCATATTACGCATTCAGTATCGATGGGGATTATTCGACGCATAATTTTTAATATTAAAATGTATCACAGTCAGCACTTCTCTCGGTTCAATTTGACAATACACTTACCTCGAAGAAGTTACCTAGCCAACGTTAAGAACATCTTAGTATGAACAACGGTGTTCTAGAGCAGTGTCTTTGCAAGACAGTATCAAAGCAACACTAGCGTGGCTTCATATACTCGAGGATTGCTTCCGCTCAATCATAATGACGTAACTGGATATTGTTAGACAATTCACTGCAGGGGAAGTAATCATGATCCCCAGATTCCGCTGTCGTATCTCAAAGCTACACACGGAAAGTCAGAATGCAACCATCGCGTCTAGACACGGATTAATACTGTAATATCGTATTACGAAATGCAAGGGTATTAGCAACATTATGCATTGTTTACTACATCCCCCGGAAATACACGTGGCGTACCATGTAACCGTCACGTGCGATAGAAAAATTTTCCAGTTTTATAGGGTGTTTCCGTTTCGTTTCTTTCTTTGAGCAATAAAAATGTCTGTACAGAGTTCAATATTAAATGTCTGGAATCGGACAGCTACGGTCTTAAACCATTCCCTTAACCTCAAAAACGTCGTCAAATATGGACGAATAAGGAAGCCGGTCTTCGAACTAGAGTCTAGAGTTCGACGTTAGTTGGTTTAAACTTCAGGCAGTATGCCTACGGAATGCTTTTTGCAGTTACAATAAGTACTAAGAACTCGCACCTTACTCAATGGACTATTTTATTAACCACTAATGTGGTACTGTGTAGTGGAAACACGCCGGAAATTTTCCAGTCTATCTGACGTGATTGTCAAGTCAGAAGAAAATCCCGCTGTCTCAAAAGCAGAGTACGTTCCTGCTCGGTTTTCTTCGATAAAAATGATTGATGAACAGACTCAGCGGGCCCTTAAGCAAGTGTTTAAGTATGAAAATATGTCGAAAGTTCAGGACGCTGTTTTGTCGATGTCGCCTGTCACCGGAGATTTATTCGTCAAAGCGAAGACGGGAACAGGAAAAACTCTAGCTTTTCTTATTCCTGCTATCCAGACAGCATTGAGAACGGAAGATAGGCGGGACAGAGGAAGGCGAGTCTCGATTTTGGTGATCTCGCCTACACGTGAACTAGCAATGCAAATTGCAGAGGAAGCAAGGAAGATCACATATTTTCATAACTTCGAAGTTCACTGTTTAGTGGGTGGTGAGCCAAAGGGCAGGCAAATAAGAGACTTGTTGAGAAAACGGGTGGATATCGTCGTCGGTACACCTGGTAGACTGACTGATCTAATAGAAAGTGTTCAGGACTTTAGACGACAGTGTGAAGGTATTAAAACGGTAAGCTTTGTCGGTTTCGCCCTTATAATGAACATATGAGAGGTATAATATTAAAATGCCCGATGAATATTTGTGTGACTATCTTTATCTTGAAACAGTTGGTTCTTGACGAGGCCGATCAGCTTCTCGACATGGGATTCCGGCAAGATATTGAAAGATTAGTTGAATTTTACCCCAAAGATAGACAGACCTTCCTTTTTTCGGCTACGATATCGCCAGAAATACGTGAAATTTCTCGATTCGCTCTTAGAAAAGATTACACTTTTATTGATACGGTAGATCCCAATGATGTGAATACAAATATACAAGTAAAGCAGTCGTACATAGCTTGTCCTTGGGAATCTCACATTCCCACTTTAAGACATATTATTAGAGATCACAAAAAGCAACACCAGAACGCTAAAATAATTGCCTTTCTCCCGACAAGATTAGGGACTCAGTTATATGCAGAGCTTTTCCGTATGCTAGATGAAGTTAGTGTTTTTGAGATACATTCTGGAAAGGCTCAGGATCAAAGGTCTAGAGTGTCAGAGCGTTTTAGGAAAGCACCACGGAATGCAATGCTTGTAACTTCAGATGTATCAGCTCGTGGAGTAGACTATCCTGGTGTGACTTTAGTGTTGCAAATAGGTGCACCTTCGTCGAAGGAACAATACATACATCGGTTGGGACGAACGGGACGCGCTGGGAAGGAAGGAAAAGGAATCTTGGTTCTGGCGCCATTTGAAAAGAAATTCTTGCGTGAAGTTAGCAGTCTTCCATTACAGGAAATATCGTTTCCAGAAATAAATAAAGAGGATCCGAGCATTGAAAATGTAATACAACGGCTCGATGCTGATATGGTAGATTCAGCTTTTCGGGCCTTCCTAGGATATTGTAAGCGCAATAATAGTAACTAAAACGGTTTCTGATTGAAATGTGTTGAAATTGATCTAATTTCTTTTTTAATTAAATCAGATGTAGGGAAATCCGACGTGATAGGTGCTCGAAAAGAAACCGTCCTGGATGCTGGAGCCGAATTTGCTGCAGCTTTCGGGCTTAACCCTCCACCGCATATAAGTCCTAGGCTAAGACAAGCATTGGGTTTTACCGATAGTAGACGATCTTCTGGTCGTGGTGCCAGCTCCGAACGCCGTTCTGGCTTCCGCTCGAGTATAGACCGCCGAGGTGGGTATAATGATAGAGATAGTCATCGAAGTAGGAGTTATGGTGGCCGCGACGACTATGGTGGCCGCGGGAACTATGGTGGTGACTCCGGTGGCCGCGGTGACTATGGTGGTGACTACGGTGGCCGCGGTGACTATGGTGATCGGAGCGGTTTTGGGAGCAGGAGTTCGCGCTCCTCTATTAGACACACATATTAAGGTTTTGTTGCTATCTAATAAAGATTTTAGTAAATAACCTCATTGGAGGACTAGCTATGCAATATACTACTTTACTAGGATGCTTGTCGCAATGTGCGATTAGTGACTTATAATATTGACCCGTTTTCTACAACGCAATGGAATTCGGGTAAGTCTAAGCCATTACATAAATCGGTCATCCATTTTCACGTTTCCATTTCCATTATCGATATACAAAGTATATCCCCTCTAGGGTACATCGCTTACAATATCTGTGAAAGCGCAGTGTCACTTTCACTAGGAGGATGTATTGCGTATTGTTTTCCGGGTTTGTAGCTGTTGCTCAAAGATCAGCGATGGCATTTATTTACTATTACCGAAAATCTGGATCGTCCAGATGCGTCAATCGCGAGTAATATATTTTTCGACAGGGCAATTGCAAATCATATTCCCATTCTTTAAACATAGGGAAATTTTCGAACATTCCACAATTTTCATAAACACGATTAACTCACATTCTTAAACAAACCACATTTTTATGCGCGTAGGCTCCATATGAGATTGCATGTCTCAGGTTCTCCATATAATATTGCATGTTTTATTCCCATTCAAATACTGACAACCATAAACATATTTAAGACATTATCCCCCAAACTCTTCAATATTTTGCTCATTTGAAAATCCAAATCGTAAACACATAACCTCTCCCCTCAATGCTAACTAACACGACCACCATCACCACCACCAGCGCCAAAAAAGGGTTCAAACAAAAGGAAGTACTCAGCTCCCCAACCTACGGACAGTTCACAGGACACGAAATCGGTTCAGGGCTCAATTGGAAACGCAGGGCCCTTTTGGAACGAATATACCCTAAAGGAGGAGTCGAAGAAGTGGTGGTTACCCGAAAAGACCGCTTGTGTCGAACTTGTGGAGTGGATCTTAAAAAAAATGGAAACGGCTCGTGGTTCTCGGTTCAGAAGTTTATGCCAATGGAGAGCTCGCAGAAGACCTACTACGTTCGGCCGCAAATTGCAGGAGAAGAGAAGCCGCCTAAGAGGTTCAAGAAGGAAGTGAAGAAACCTTCAGCAGGCAAGGTACAACGTATTCGCATTTATCCCAACCAGCAGCAGGAGCGGCTGAAACTCAGAAGATGGATGGGAACAGCACGATGGACATACAATCAGTGCCTTACCGCCGTCGAAAAAGAAAGTATCAAACGAGAAAAGAAGGATCTACGCGCGCTATGTCTCAACGCCAAAAACTTCAATGATACCGAACTTAAATGGTATATTCTTTTAATTTTGCTGCCAATCGTAAAAAATTCAAGATGAAGCTCCCTTCAAAAAAGGATCCTCAACAGTCAATTACGATACTTTCTAAACGCTGGGGCAAGTCTCGTGGGGAATATTCCTTTCTTTCTAAATCAAGCTCTCCCATATAAGTTTGAATATGATAGCCGCCTTGTTATGAATCGACTTGGGGAATATTATCTTTGTATACCCAGACCACCTGAAATACGGGCTGAAAACCAAGGCCCTATATCTCAAAAGGTATTGATCTAAATTTTTTATTATATTATATTATCTATTAATTAAAACTCTAATTAATTATATTAATATATTTAATAATTTAATAGGAGGAGTGATTTCTCTGGTCCAGGTGTACGTACATTCATGACAGGTTATGATCCAAGTGGAGTAGCTGTTGAGTAGGGTAAAAATGACATTGGCCGAGTTTATCGGTTAAGCCATGCATGCGACAAGCTTCAAAGTAAACGCGACTGTATTTATTATTATGGCGTTACAAGTAAAATTATTAACTAAATTATTTATTTATTATTTATCTGCTGTCTTGTGGATGATTGTAATCATAAAACTATCGCATAATATTACTACCCGAATTCCGCGCTCAAGGAATGGTCCGACGTGGACAACGACGCATTAATTCCAAGACTGCTCGAGTCATGTGTACATGATCACATTATCGCTTTCAACACCATAAGGCACGTAATAATTTGTACAGAAGTAAAACTTGTGGATCTAAGGTGTTTTGCTGTCCCCAATGTAAAACAAACCTTGATAGAGATATCAATGGTTCTCGTAATATTCTTCTTCGATATCTCACAAAAAAGGAGTCAGCGGGAGCCTATTCTCTGACAGTACTTGTTATTCCTAACTTATTAGTAATAATAGGTTTTAATGTAGGCGTAGCTATCTATAATGGAAAAACCATTTTATTGTACTTGCATGAACTATAATAGACTGCCATTCATCTTATTTATCATACTTTCCCGAACGTAATATCAATTAATTTTAAACAATACAAAACTCGTTGTTCACGTATATAGCATATACAGACAAACGACGTTTTCGATTTTATCTACATGTCTCACACGGGCCTGTAATCCCTCATGATGGTTTACATCATTCAAAGGTCTAGAATAATACTGAGCGTACCATCAGAGCGGAATTATAACTCTTGAAGCTCAAAGATGTCAATAGTCATATTATTTATGTAATAAAATAAGTTCACTGTTCAGTTAATAGGGCGATCTCATCGTAACAATTTATTCATCAGTATACTGTATATATTACTTACTCAGGGCAAAATTATTATTTATAATCCCCAATCAGATATGAGGCAGTGGAGGGAGAGAGAGCCATTAATATTGCTAGTGGAAGGATGTATTAGTAGAGGCAAGGTCTCCAAAGGGAGAGGAGAACCAGAACATAGTCAAACCGGTTAATAACGCCTTAGACTAATCAGTCGGAAGGGTGGGTGAGGGTGGTGGATGAGACGAGTTCAAAAAAGATGTTATAGACATTGCAGCGAACGTGAAAGCACATAACAAGGTGGAGCATACAAGTTTATATAGCATTCTTTTTGTTCGTGCATCAGACCAAGAGAGGTGACAACTTCTTCAAGGCAAACAAACGTTCTTTTTACTCCTAATGCAAATTCATTTTGGAGGTACAGTTCGAGACAAGTAGCAACGTTGTTGCGTTAAGGTACTTTTTAATAGTACGATAAACGGTTATGTTTTATGAAAGTCAATCGTAATAGTGGCCTTCTTATTTTGGAGATTTGGCGCAATTGTGTAGCACGTTAAAATGTTTGTATTACGGTTTCTCCATGTGATTAGCATTGGCCCAAGAAAATCTTATGCATCTGAGGTCGACAGATGTAATAGGGCAAGGACAAGTAGATATTACACAGCCGATGAATTCGCCAACGATATTAGCGAAACATCAAATTAAACGATGTATCAACAAATTGTAACTAGAATATCAAGAAGAGTTGTAATAAAACACGGAATAAATGTGTCACGTGTAGCAAAAGCGAATATAAGAGCATTTCATTCAACACATATAAGAGCATTCTCAAATCCAAAAGACCCTCCCAACACTCCCCCCTCCCCGCTCAAACCAACCAAAGACGCCATCAAGGAAGTTGGGGTGGAGGAAACTTTATCGAACGAGACAACATCAAACCCTACTGCCGGTGCAAAGGAGGATATCGATAAAATTGGACAAGCGCCTGACGATGCACAGTCACAACAGTCTCGCGATAGTAATGGGTATGAAGTTGCTGATTTTGTCTTAAGATCGGCAAGACGAAGACGTATGGGAGCAACATCGAGGGGGCGACTACGTACGGGCAAGAATTTGGCGTTGTACAAGCCTGTTATTCCAGACGAGTTTCTAAAAACAAACTATATTAGATTCGCAGAGAATTCCGCGTCATTTGACGCAATGGAATATCCTTTACAGGAGGGCATTCGCCAAGAGATTGTATGCAGTGCGCGTGCTAATTTGTTGGCAACTCCGACCAGCGATTCTCTTCCTGCCAAACGTGGTCACCTTCTGCTAAACTGTCCGTTAGAAGGAGCAACTTACTATCTTGATGATATCGTCAATAGTACTGCTGCATGTTTGCATGCAGATCTCTTGAAGTTTGATAGACAAGATTTAATGGAATTAACAGCTGATGCCTTTGCTCGGAAGAGCAATATTACCCCTTGGCCATTATTTCCTGATCTGAAAGGCTTTAATCCATATATATCTGCCTCCCCATATTCGACTGCATCGTCCATGTCAGCTGAAGAAGATGTAGATGAGGAAGTCTTCATTGAAGAAGAAGAAACATATGACGCTTCTCATCATATGACTAAATTTCCTGCATTTGATAATAAAGCATACTCGGAAGCATTACCCTTCAATGGATCAAACAATACGGCAGCTACGCGAGGAGATATGAAAGCGATTATGGATAAGATCAATAAGTTTTTTGAAGCTTTGGTTGCGGTGAAACCGTTAACAGATTCAAACGAGCACACCGCGCGGAGAGATGCTACATCTAGATTGAAAATCATTTATTTTAAGGATATAGGAGATATACCGCCATCCAATTTTACAGTTCAATTGGTTAATTCGCTTGTTGATGCAGTTCAGACTCGGAGAGGAATGGGTGAGAGAATTCTGATCATTGCTGGTTATTCTCCATCATTGTTTGCAATGGAGAAGAAACCATCTTCAGCCTGTGTAGTACCACACGAATTGCATCTGATGAATTCAGACATATTTCCCAATCCTGCAATGCTGGTTTCGTTCACACACATTGCCATACCTCCTCCGTCAGATGACGTGGCCAAGAAGCTTCTAGATTTGATTTCGCGTGATAAGAATTTAGCAATAAGACATCTTAATACGCGGAACATTAAAGCTGTGGGGGCGAGTAAAGGAGCATATTTCAAATGCAATACCATTGAAGAATTAGGTCAGATATTGTCTGGGTTGGATGGAATAGACACTGAAGTATGGGGATTCGAGCGAGTTCATAGACTAGTAATGAACGCAATAGGATTGGCACTTGATAGGCATGGTCCTGTAACTTCAAATGGAAGAGTTGATTTGGAGGCCGATCACTTCATTAGAGCCGCAAACATTTTAAAAGTAAACCAGAACCTGCGCAAGAGTTTTGTAGATTCGGTTTCAAATAGTGCAAAAATAGGGACCAAGGACGTTGAGAACGTGATTAGCGTTCTTGGCGTTGGTGACGTTAAAGTGAACATCGCCAACTCAAAGTCGCTTAAGCTAGGAGAACTTGATAGGTATGAAAAAAGGTTTTCAGGATGTATAGTAGAAACAGGTAAAATGTTTTAGGAGACTAAGAAGATTGGTGGAATTTCTAAATCGAACATTGAATTAACTGTTTGGTTTCCTGTGCAGCTAATATACAGACGGGGTTCTCAGATATCCATGTGACTCAGACAACAGTTGAGACGCTGCAAACGTTAATAACATTGCCTCTACTTCGACCAGATTATTTCTCTTACGGAGTTCTAAGGAAACATTTCATATCCGGCGTGCTGTTGTTCGGTCCGCCCGGTACTGGAAAGACGATGCTGGCGAAGGCTGTTGCTAAGGAAAGTGGGAGTACAGTACTGGATATCAAATCTAGCGATGTTTATGATATGTATGTCGGGGAAGGTGAGAAGAACGTTCGGGTATGCATCATGGTCGTGTACTCTTCTAATAATTAACGCTTCGATTGAAGGTACTAATGATAACATTTATCTTCTAGGCAATATTCTCTTTGGCACGTAAATTATCCCCATGTGTAATATTTCTGGACGAGGTTGATGCCATATTTGGGTCTAGAAGATCTGACATAAATAATGGAGCACATAGAGAAATCATCAATCAGTTTATGGCCGAATGGGATGGGCTGACATCAAAGAATGAAGGTGTACTTGTCATGGGTGCAACCAATCGTCCATTTGATATTGATGATGCGATTTTGCGAAGGATGCCAAGAAGAATTTTAGGTAAATAACCGATTAACGATGTCACGATGTCATATTTTATAATCCTTCCATCTGTATGCCTTTATTAATCAAATGGGTTATTATTTAGTTGATTTACCAACAGAGAAAGACCGTGAACAGATACTGCGTCTCCATCTTCGTGACGAACAACTTGATCCAGCAGTATCAATGGCTCACCTAGCTAAAACAACACATCTTTATTCTGGATCCGATTTAAAGAATTTATGCATAAGCGCTGCATTGGCCGCAATACGTGAAGCCACTCGTTTAGACATACTCACAAAACAATCAACAAAGACAGTAAACAGTGATGATAGGGTGCACTCAACGTCTTTTCCAAGAAGAATATTAAGATCCGAGCATTTCCAGTTGGCACTCAAACAAATAACGCCTTCATGCTCGGAAGATATGACAAGTTTAAGCGAACTCAGGAAGTGGGATGGTCTATATGGTGATGGCGCATGGAATAGGAAGAAGAGAATGAAAGGTATAGGGTTTGATGGTGGTTCAGATGTATCAGATATATCATCAGCAAATGGACTATAAATTTCATATATTCATAGTTACCCTGAATTTTTATTCTGCACTTTAATTAAGTTGAGCGTTCTGTAATTTGCCTTCTAGCGATTTGTATGCATTTTATTCACTCGAATGATTGTTGTATTGTGTGATTTTGCAAGTCTGGAATGATCACGTTATATGCTAGAAAGGGCGGGTATTTGATTAATATTGAGATTTTTAGTCGTTACTCATTTCGAAAATCAGATTACTTCAAAAAAGTTTCTTCGTATTCAAAGGAGTTGTGATCAATTTTCAATAGACGATGTTCCTAAGATCACTTGTTCAAGGTTATTACCGTTCAAGTCAAACATTTTCTTATATTGCCTAGTTCATTCTTTCCAATACTGCCCGCGTCCCAATGTCAAACCATATAGGATCTATCAACCATTATTGTAACTTTCAGATCGCCATTACTAAACTTTGCCGCTGCCCACTAGTTCTCCGTCAGCATAACCATTTGACAATAACTGCATCACGCCTTATAATATCGGGCCAAAGTAATGATTCAATGATGCTATTGTAGTTGGCGTAACCAATCATATTTATTATTACTACCTACGATGACAACCTGAATGCTCCTCTGGGGAGGTTCTATTCAAATTTGAGTAGATTAATTAGATTAGCACGCAGACTATTATTCGACACTACTTTTTATAAAGAACCGAGCTTATGGTCTAACTATTTCATTCGCAGTATTACAATATCTCTTCCGGAAATAGATTCTATTCCTTGTTCTAATTGGTCCCGACAGCCAACACACCATCTACCCGTAACTGGTCACCAGATGTAATAGCGTTGTGGAAATCTCTAAGGAGATTATCGACGTCTTCCATGGTCAGCGGCCGAATATCTGCGAGTTCCTTGATTTTGATAGTAACCTGTTTAACTTGATCATCAGTCAATGTGAGACCTAATTGTTCAACACGGTTCTTGACCGCATTCCAACCGGTCAAGCGATGACCAATCGAAACATAGCGAGTCATTCTGCAGTTGATGTCAGCGAAAAGGAAAGGCGAATTTTATTAGAATACTGTTCTGATAAAAACATTTGTCTGACATAAAAATCGCACTCGTAAAGCCCCTCTAGTTGATAGTAATATTTTACTCACCCAAAGTCTTCTGGCTTGAGGATTTCATAAGTACTCGGATTATTGAGAATAGCTTTCGCATGGATTCCAGCTTTATGGGTAAACGAACAGTATCCTGTAATGTAATTATTAAATGGCACTTGCACTTGTACAGCATCTGCAACTAAGTTCTCTAAATCACGAAGCATGTGTAACTTGTACTTGTTCTTGATGTATTCTTTGTCTGCAGTGTACATTCTTGCAACAAGGCCGCCCAAAGGTGTAATTCCATTTCTCTCCCCGATACCCAACACTGAGGTATCAATATGTGTAGCGCCTGCTTCTAACGCAGCATATGCATTAGCAATAGCACATCCAGTATCGTTATGAAAATGACACTCGATATCACAGGATACGACTCCTCTGAGTGTCCTTACTAAGTCGTACACTTGCCGTGGGTTAGCACATCCAACAGTATCTGCAATGCCCACTCTATTGACGCCTATTTTGTCAACTGTGCGATAGATGCTCAATAAATCAACCAGATCACTACGGAAGGAGTCTTCCGATGAAAAGCGTACTTCAATGCCTTTTGATTTGACATAGTTTACGACTTCTATAGCTTGCGTTGTGATATAGTTCATGTCCTTGCCATGCGAAAATTCACGCAAATAAGACGATGTGCCTATCACTACGTCGACTCCGTCGACACCTATTTGTCATATTAACAGATATTACTTTGTGTATGCGGGTATAAAATTACAAGCGTCATTTCGATTAACAGATTCTCTCAACCCTCAATGAGATAGCCCGATCAGATAGAACCATCAGCCATACTCACCAGTTTCGACGGCAATTTGTGCATCACCCATATGACATCGTATATGAGTGAGAATTTTGGCCTTGAGGCCAAGGTTGCAAATTGCAACGCAGTCCTCCCGTGACTGTTCGGAAGCTGCAGGCGAAGTAAGTTCGATGTATTCGACTCCAAAAGCATCCAGGGCTTTAGCTATTTCTATCTTAGTAGCCGTGTCAAAGAAAGCATTGGCAAATTGCTCGCCCTCTGTGGGTAAGACATTACATTACGAACACTAATCAGTAAGGATAGTTGATGGTATACATGATATATGATAGATCTTCAAACTATCGTGTACTCACCTCTCAGAGTTGACTCGATAATAGAGAACTTGTTTACCCGACTAAGCAAGTCAGAGTAGTGTTGAGTGTAAGGGTTCTGCAATGATGGCGGGTTGTCCTGTTTAATATTGTTTGATGATGATGTACCATTCATTGTTTCTGCTGTTCTGTTTAATAATAAAGTCCTTGCTTGACCCAGTTTTTCTGGCGACAAATCTTTTAACGGGCATGTTAATGTGGTTATTATACAAAAAAATTTTTGACGATTTTGGTGTAACGCTAAATGTAAGTATAAATTACACGTTTTAAATAATAAATAGATCTTTTAGATAATCTAAATCTCGAGAATGATTATCACGCAGGTTCTTGACGAAAATAGAAGAATGGAACAGCCTGCAATTACAAATCATCTGACTTCCCGCCATTACAAATGGTTATTACCACCATAGTTCATGTGAAGGTCGCCCAATTAAGTTAAAAATTCGTCAATAAGAATAAGGGGCTCACTTTAATTGTTCTATTTATATTACGTAAAAATTTTAGAAAGAGAAAGGCAATTACAATAAACTGGGATATTTTTCAGGATAATGATGACAATAATGATAATAAACAACTCCAGTTTGGGCGCATGCATTTAGAAAGAAAAAACAGTTTATGTATTTAGGCGTGAATGTAAATTGAGAGTAACTGCAAGTATGACGTCCCGATTGGAATCAGAGGTACTGTAATTTCGAGAATTGTCGAATTAGAATAGAGAGACGGTCAAGACAATGGTATCATTACATTATACATCGGCCGCAGAGAAAGCAACCCTGTAATTAGATGGGTGGTCTTTAAGTCCATAAGTTTGAATGCCAATCCATTAATATTAATAGCAGCATTGTTTTCTCTGTGCGTTCAGCGGTCCCTTTTTGTGTGATATAATATTAATATTAATATCGTCACCCTGAATTATTTGTGGTGGTGTGACAATTTATACATAATCTGGTTGCACATGCCCATATGACGGACATCTTGGAAAAAGATGAAATTCTTACCCTACCCAACTCCGTCAAAACCAACGAATTAAGCTCTCACTTTCTACAGTGTTTCTATCGTTGTTTCGTAGCATTGAAGTGATTGTTGACATTATGAACGGAGGAGTATCCTTGTCTGTGACTGGTGGCAAAGAAGCGGCAACGAAGACATTTCAGTATCAAGACAAACTTCCAAAGTTGCCCATTCCACCATTAGAGGACACTCTGAAACGATATATTGCAGTTGTAAAACCACTTCAGGTAACTTAAATACAAGTTGGGGAGAGTTATTTGTAGGCAGAAAGCGGTTTGGGTAAGTTAAATTAGATGCCGAAAATTCCACGAAAATAGTGCATGTGCATCTTTCGTTAAATATACACCCGTCATTAATGTCAGGAAATGAGCAATGCAATCAGAGCCCCACGATCTATTATCAGTATACCAATAATTACAGAACTGCAGATTATAGATCAAGATCGCCCTATCAAATCACATGCAATTAAAAAAAATAGTTTCTGAGCGACGTTGATCCTGTCTATCCTCCTTAATTGCAGAGCAATAAAGAACACGAACGGACACTTGCTGCGGTCGAAGAATTCGCAACTTGTGAGGGTCCCATACTCCAAGAGAGACTCCTCAAATATGCCGAGGATAAGTCGAGCTACATCGAAGAGTTCTGGTACGAATCCTATTTACACTATAGCGATCCAGTCGTCCTTAATCTCAACCCATTCTTCGTACTCGAGGATGATCCGACACCGGCAAAGAATAACCAAGTTATTCGTGCTGCTTCCCTTATCGTCTCTTCCTTGAAATTTGTGCATGCTCTCCGTATCGAGGCTCTCGAGCCTGATGTATTCAGAGGCACTCCATTATGCATGTCTCAATTTGAAAGACTATTCGGCACTTCTCGCCTACCGACGGAAAATGGATGTATTATGCAAACGGAAAAGCAGTCCAGACACATAACAGTTGTCTGTCGTGGACAATTCTATTGGTTTGAAGTGTTTAATGGTGATAACCAAGTATGCATAACCGAGAAGGAACTTGTAGCTAATTTGAAAACCATTAAACAAGATGCCCAACAGACACCAGTAGTCGAAGTTGCTAAACACGCCGTAGGCATTCTATCGACCGAAAATCGTAAGGTATGGGCAGGTCTCCGTGATATTCTGGAGCAATTTGCAGAGAATAAAGATGCACTTAGAGTTCTTGACTCGGCACTATTTGTCGTTTGTCTTGATGAAGTATCTCCAACAACCGGAGACGAGGTTTCAGAGAATATGCTATGTGGTACATACAAAATTGAACAGGGAGTTCAGGTTGGCACATGTTCAAACAGATGGTACGACAAGTTACAGATTATAGTATGTGAAAATGGTTCAGCTGGAGTGAATTTTGAGCACACAGGTACACGTTATTTAAATATCGGCCTAGTATTATATTTCTTTTCGGTTAATGTAGTTTTTAGATATTTATTCTTATGTCATTTATTACTACAATAGGTGTGGATGGTCACACGGTCTTGCGCTTTGTCTCGGATATCTATACGGATACTATCCTTCGATTCGCACAAACAATCAACAGTCACACTAAATCCCTCTTCCATTCGTCTTCTCACACACGCCAACAAAGAAACCCTAATGGAACTCAAATTATCGATACAACTCCAAAGAAACTAGAATGGACGCTAACTCCAGAAGTGCAGACTGGCATTAGATTTGCAGAGAGTAGATTGAGCGATCTAATATTGCAAAATGAGATTGCAGTGTTGGAATTCAATACGTATGGAAAACACTTTATTATAAGCCATCAGCTCAGCCCGGATGCATTCGTGCAAGTACGTATACACGTGTATTATCTCTTTGCAACCTATGATTATAATGCTGTTCACTTTGACTTTTAGATGGCATTCCAAGCAGCATACTATGGACTCTACGGATCGATTGAATGTGCATATGAACCGGCTATGACTAAAGCTTTCCTTCATGGACGCACCGAAGCAATTAGACCAGTATCTACTGAATCAGTAGAGTTTGTCAAATTATTTTGGACGGACGCGCCTGGAGTCGAGAAACTTGAAAGTCTCCGAAAGGCGATTGATGCTCAAGTCAGTCTTACCAAAACGTGTTCTAAAGGCCTGGGGCAAGACAGACATCTCTATGCCTTACAATGTATTTGGCAAAAAGATCAACTGGGAAAGGTTAACGAAGACAAGATACCTTCAATCTATAAGGATTCCGGTTGGCAAACGCTCAACCATACGGTAATCAGTACAAGCAACTGCGGTAACCCTGCCCTGCGACTGTTTGGTTTTGGCCCTGTTGTAGCTGATGGTTTTGGTATTGGTTATATTATCAAGGAAGAGGGCATCGCTGTAAGTGGTTATATTAACTTGACAACTGAATTTGTCCAATCATAATAATACTAAACTTATTATTCTATGCAGTTTTGCGCCTCGTCTAAGCATCGACAAACGCATCGCTTTCTTCAGACGCTTAAGAACTATTTACTTGATGTGCGACTGTTACTTTTGTCTGAAAAAAGGACGCATGATATGATGCGTAATGTATCGGATGAAGAAAACATAAGCATGCTTTCCGGCTATGGTTACTTTGACGCTGGTGGTCTCGAGGAATTACGTGAACACCGTTTGGAAGAAAAGAGGGAGGGCATGAAAATGGTCGGGAAAATCTTGAAATTGGTAGACTATTAGAAAGTGCACGCAATACTATCAATGCTGTAACTTTCATAGTCGCCTAACGCAGCAGGGATCAATCACATTGGTGATGATTGTTATCTTCTTGTAATAGTTGCTAGTTTTGCTCCAAATCAGTGTTTAAATTTATTTTTTTACCTCAAACCTTAGCATATCCTTCCGGATCACGAAGTTTTTTGTCAGTAGTCGGGCTTCATTCAGTAATCATTTCTGCAGTTTGTATCTAAGAAATAAACCCATAAATTCGTAATATGTAATCATCTTTGCAATACTATCTTGAGAACTGGCAGCATATCTTTTGGTCGTCCTAATATGGGCTTTGGTCACTGAAGGAAAAACGTTTCTCCTATCAATATTTGAGCTTGTTCTGACAGGTCCTGCCATTTTGGTTTTTCTTTGACATAGTATAAATCTTTCTGCAGTATCGCTGAATTAACAGCACATTCTGATGTTGTAACGCAAGTCAGAAGTCTTTAAGAAGAATTAGGTGCAAATGTGCCCAGTATATTTTTAAAACAACTTGTACGAAAACAGATAAAAAGATAATTATGTATAAAATAATAGCAGCGTTCTAGACAGTGTAAAAGTTTGAGATAACTATTACTATCTTTGTTGACATGTATTCATATATTTATTCTTTATTAGCATCCCAAAACTCTTATAGCTACTAATAGCATCGGTACTATGTAGAGCAAGATGGACTTGCCAACACGTTTGAGTGAACACTATTGGCATGTCTGCGTTAATTACATTTGAAATGATCATATACAGTCACCAGACAGAGTAAAACATATGGAAAATCCCTACTGTGCATATTTACTACTGAATATGTCATTGTTGTTTACAAAAAATACAATCAATTAGCTTCAAAACGACACAAAAATTATTGTAACTTACATAGTAAATATGTACAGTAGGGATTTTCGAAGAAAAAGGGGTTTCATATGTTTACTAATTGATCGTCAAGGTGACTGTAGATCAGTGTGATTTTCGGCGTATAAAAACACGCACTATTTATTGATTAAAAAAAGGAAAACTTTATTCTCGTGGGACGTTACACTATTAAATAAGGATAAGAGTCTACACCCATCTTGGGTTAAGGATGCCCCATATTAATATCAGACATTTGTATGATTGGCTAATCAAAATATAAATATTTCAAGTGCTTATTTGAAGTTTGTAGATTAAATAGTTGTTGCTTTGATAAGTCTTCGACTTCATCATCATTATCTGCTGATTGAACCTCGTTTTCTTGACTGAGGTCACATCTTCATCCGTATTCGTATCTGTGATTCTGCTAATAATAGAATTTCATTTTTAATATAAAAACATTTGTATTCGAGATATTGCACGCAACTGTTGATGATAAATGGAAGTGAGATAAACTGATCAGGTGTCAATTACAACATTTTACAAGAATTCCGAAAGTGACATTTTTCTACATGTCTTGATTGCACTTGTGTAATGGCAAGACGCGACGCGTCAAGAAAGAATTTGTCACAAATAACTAAACTTAACCATGACCAATTATTACATTGTTATTCTTGTTGAGGCTGGTGTTAGTGCTTTACTCCATAAAAATTGGTTCGAAAGACTCCTGAGAGGGTTTGAAATTGATAGCTGTTTTAGCCTTAATATTTGCTTTATGCAAGAGATCACATAAACAGTATTACGTTCGTCACCTGGAGAGCGTTTGTGTCCAGTTTGACCGTGGAATATTCTCCAAATTTAGCTCTAAACATGGTCTTGCTTACACGCTCGCGTCAATTAAGGCGTAGCTAAAATTTGCAGGCGGCTTTTTAAATAAAAATATTGCATCGATAATCGAACTATTCTTTCCCGTCTGGTCTGATACACCAGCGCCCGCTTAACTAGTTGGATATTAATCTAACTTCTGTAAGCTTACTTATCCGGCTTGATTTAGCCTCCTAAGCAATAGAACTTCGTTCAGCAACAACGATACACAAGAATAAAACTATTATTACTAATAATAATTCTTAGTCGAAGAGTGTTAATTATAAAAGGGCGATAAAATTTCGACGCGTCGTTTTCAGCCGCTTCTAGTGAATGAGTTTAATTGATAATCATGGACGATAATTTTTAATTAATTTTACTATCGATTGTAGTATTTTATTTAATATTCTATTATTTACTCAACAGACTGCAACAATTTTTAACACACCCTCCAACAATGGAATTTAGCGAATGTTAATAAAGTAGGTGGGGCGTAAATTTTGCCTTCTGTGGCAATTTCATTGTCACTTTTTGTGCCAGGGCACAATTGAGCGTCCGTCACACTGGCTTGCATACTGAATAGTTTATCTAGATTGAAGAGCAGAAAAAAACCTTTTGTGGTCTTGCTCTTTTCAGTGTCGATCGGTAGATACTAATCTTAGACGGTTATTCGCACTCGAATTAATCCTCTATTCCCTTCTGATGGGATTAATTTGGAAGCCTATATATTAAAACGTACGTCTCATCATAAGCGAATAACAATCGTAATGCCATGAGAATACCACGGGACAAGAAGCGAATATTCCTAATAGATATAGGGATTAGCGGTTTCACAACTATACCGATAATTTACCAGAGAACGAATCATTAATAATGTATTTCAGAATATGAAGAACTACTCGTTTATAATATCAATAGAACATTAAAAAAAACATGAGCATAATAATAATCGAACATTTAAGGGGCAAACTTGACATAAATTTTGTTGAGGGTAGAGCGACATGTCAAGTTCTCCCATTCGAGAGGACTATTGTAATGTAAATTTGTGCTGTCGAAAATACAGTAAACGTCATGTGAATTATTTTCAGTTATCCATCCATAGTCCCTAAGGAAACAATACTATAATTATGATAGACAGCTTGTTTTATTGTTGTCCAAAATAAAAAAGATGCTTACATTGGTATATATTTTGAGTAAGAGAGCGATATTATCTTTCGCATAGGTGTGTTCACCAACCTCGTACTATCGATGGCTATACGATGTACCGACTTGTCGAGAAAATTTAAATATGAAAAAAAGAATATGGTAGGAGATTTTATCCGACTTATCAAGTTTGCTTACCCATGTATTTTCTATTCTATCCAAATAAGCGTACCAACGATTATCAAACAACAACAATCTAATAATCGTTGAATCGAAAGGAAATATTTTATTTGTTTGTTTGTTTGTTTGTTTATTTTTTTTCTTCCCCCGCGGCCGATAAGTCACTGCGCGCTTGTACACAGTGTCAGAAAAGTGGGCTACGATTCACGCAGTAAAGGTCAAGATACAGATTAACTAAATTATAATAATGGAAATTTGACCTTAAGCATATTAAAAAAAAAATCATCATATTCACTTACATACCCTTATATGGTATTTATCTAAACTCATCTGAATGAGAAATATCGTGAAGGAAGTGTCAAGTGTTGAAACTCACATCCCGCAAAGCTAAGAGCATGGGTTAGAAAGCACTTCGCAAACGAGATTGGCGTTGAAAAAAAAAATCAGAAATGCACTAAAAAAGTGGATTTACCGAGTAAGGCTCAAAGTATCTTTAATCTGGGTCATTCCGCCGCGTTATGAGGTCGTCGGTCGTTTTTGTCGCGTTTTTTGTACCGTTTTTTTTTTTCCGTGCTGGACGGCAAAAAAGGATATGTCGCGTGTAATTGCGTTATCAGACTTGGCTACTCACGCTTACAGTGTACTTGTTGTGAAGAAATGCACGAGTCATACAGGCGACGAATTGCAATACCAGGATTAACAGCGTGGGTGCTTCTCAAAGACAGCTGCTGTTGATGTTGGTTGAATTTCCTCATCGAAGACCGATTCTCAACTGCATAAGTGTCTTGTCAACCAATGGCTTATGGCTTTTTGCCATTTTTGTTGGCACACCGTAGCTGAACCGGTTGAGCTTGCTTGAATGAAGAATTTCGTGATCTTGATCCTTTTAGTACGCATGTGTAATTGGAAACCTACACGAAGAATTGCAATCAAAAGACTTACAACCTGTAGTTATAATAAACACAGTGATATTAAGGTAACTAATAGCAATGATAATGTATTTCTCGCATCTGCAAACTCAGACATTATTAAAAACACCTGTGAATATAAAGTATTTGGAGTTTTCAGGTATAAAGCATGCAGCTTACAACAGTTAGCTAAGCAAACACAATACTAACCAATGCTCTGAAGATTAAACACGAGAGTACGTCCAGATGTGGAATGGCGACGAATGCCCATGCAAGAGAACATTTTGCTTCCATTAAAGAGCAAAGAGGCGAAGAACGTTGCTGGCTTTTTATTAGTAACCATGATGTTTGGTGCACCGCGATATTACATTCAGACAACGGAAAAGAGTGCTAAACGTGTCATTAGATTGTACGATCAAAGCAGTAAATATATCATTAGAATCATAGTATCAAAAAGCTAACATGTTATACTTTTGTGGGTTGACCTTTTATATAAATAAAGTAATTGCTATCCCTCTCTGTCTTCATGACATTGTTAGCGAAATAAGTCAAAAAGAATCAACCGTCTATTGTGTTTCCGTCAGATAAAGAAAAAGCATAACAAGCTATACGATATACAAATAAACCGGTCGCTTGATAGACGGTCAGAGGCCAGTCCCTGTTGGCGACTTATGGTGTACCATGTTCATATATCAACGGCCCAGATTGAAGTGGTTTTAATTTAATGCTTTAAACGTTTTATTATCGATGCAAAATCACTCGACAACCCAAAGATCCGCTATTTATTCAAGACCATCTCCGAAGATGAAATATCTATCCCAATTGATTCTGGGGAGAAAGAATAAAGGGGTTCTACATGCGCTTCCTTTACAAGCTGTTGGATTTTAACGAATAATTCGGTTGTAACGGTTAATTCGGAAGGTAAAGACGGACTAGATGTTGGATAATGCTTTATATGCATAAACAAGTATGGATAAGTCAACAAGTCGGACAGCAAAGAAGGTATGACACTAATTTGAAATGTACTACTACCTTTTCATTCTGAAATGCCGTGTGTGCTCTTAAAAGTGCCTGGCAAAGTACGAATCTCACCAAAAATTGACGAAGGAAGTCATCCTGCAGGAAGCGTTTTACTGATTTCTCTAGAGTGAAAGAAAAATCCGTACAGAATGTGAAGCCCATATTGATTTATGTTGGAAAGGAGACACACATAGCGCATATACCTAAATCAGACTTGTTAAAAAGTTCAACTATATCGGTCTCCATCTCGGTCATAAGCGTCAGACATCTGTCCCATGATTCCTTAGCTAGCTCGTGTATTCCAGAGAGGAACGCGAAGGCGAGAAGTGGAGCATGCAAGAAAAGTGTGAGCAGACTGCCTATCTGGGACGTATCTGTATGTGAAGAAATATATATCAATATACAAGGCCAGGAAATCTTTCCAAATAAGAATCTAATTACCAGTAATGGAAGGAGGATACTCGGTTGGCGACATGAGGCAACAAAATGGTTGGTCAAAAACTCGTGGAAAACTCTATAAGACCAGTACAAATCAATGAAAGCGTCGGCAACATTCCTTGACAATCTGAATTCAATACACATTAAACCCATCAGAAATCTTACAGAAAATGCTGTGCTGTTGGGACTGTCAACAATCAAGAAAAGCGGCTTTCTCGTAAATGGAACCAAGTCATTCGGATGTAAGCAATTGACCAAGCTATTAGTATCTACTATGTCTGTCTTGTCGAACGCTTTTCGTGAGCTAGTCACAATCCCACCGTTATATCCTGCAGCATACTTTGTTTATAAGCATCGTTCGATCGGGAAGAAATAATAATAAAAAAAAAAAATAAAAAAAGCGTACCAGTAACGAAATTTTCTTCACTAATTGGACGTTTGATCCCATCGGCGGACAAGTATAATAGCAAGGCAGAGTTCTCATTTATTTCCTGAAAAGCGAGCAAAATTAGAGCAGTTTTACTAATAACTACAGAGATAGTAATGCCTTACCTTGAATGCTGTTGCTATATAAACCATCAACTGACTCAAAGTCGGTTTGTACAGAAGATACTTGTGCGGATTAATTCTTCGGGAATTATTTTTATCATGCGAGGCCACTACGTTTGATTGTTCTTCAACGGTGTTCTCGTCTTTACTTGATACCTTTTCGACTACTAAAGGATTCTCTGAAGATGACCCCTTAGAGGAGGCAGGCTCCCGCTCTAATACCGCCAACCATCTTCGCTAAGTAAGATCAAGTCTGGTCAAGGAATTCCTCAAATTACCAAGCTTACCGAGTGACTGTAGTATATGGTACATATCCAATGTAAGCTCCGAAAATTTGATTTGGTTCTGATAATTGCCAACGAGGATGGCTTCTGCCAGTTTCAGTCTTGGTAAGCCGTCCTTATCAAGTCTCGGACTGCGTTCAATTTGCAATCGTCGGGGTACACTCAAATGTTGTCCTTCAGATGTATGAGGTATTAGTTTCTTCTCTGCCTGTATAATAATGCTAGTAAGTCAATGCCCTGTACGAAAAATTATTTCACAACACTTCTTGCATACTTCTAAAAAATTTGCTATCTCCCGAAGAACTTGTTGCCATTCCACCGAATCAACAGGCTTGAATATCCTGACAAAGTCGTTAACCAAACCGTGTAATTCATTCATCAATTGTTGCACAACTTCCTTATTATTCAGAAGTAAACACACTACGATAAAACGGGCGTAATATCTCAATTTCTTAATCATTAAAGCCGGGCTGTTGTTTGAGAAACAATTTGTGAGAGAATTCATAATCACGATATTATTGTCAGACTTACGAAAGATACAAACTTTTTGAGATCCAGCACGTCTTTAAAGTATGCTCGATCTCGAATTGCTTCATAGAAGATATAAGACTCGTGAAGGTAATTCGTCTCACTAGTGCGCAGACTAATTACAAAATAGTAGGCTCGTAACTTTGAATTTATGGCGTTGAGAACTTGAATAGAATATAAGTTCCTTACTAATAATGGTAATAAAGCTGCCCAATCTTCGATGCAATTTCGCCAACTTCCCAGCGTTTCAAACCATAATTATCCTTATTTTCCAGGACATATCTATCACAATACAGAATAAAACGTCAGGGCGTTTTTCGACAAAGTTCTGAGAAAGTCCGAATGCGCTTACCTGTTTTGTTGCTGAAATTTCCACAACTGAGGGGGGAAGCGTTCGTCAGTTACGCATTCCTCACATAAAGTGTAAGTATCAGATGTGCGGACTAAACAAGCACCTTAGTATAAACCTCGAACGTTCGTTGGAAATGGGGCTGCCATTGTCGACCACCAGTAGGGGGCAATTCCCTAAAAAGCCAAGCTTCGGTCCTTCAATTTCTGTCTTCCAAACTAGGCAAGGACAACCTCTCTCTTACCTTAGACCAGCAAACATCTGCTGACTCTTTTCCAGCAAGTATTGGAATTCTTCGACTATTCTTTGTTGATCGTTAATTGGTGGGTTTCCTTCGTCAGTTGACGATTCCTTGTTGCCGCCACTACTGCCATGGTTGGACACGTCACCACCAGTAGTAGCATTATTGGTGGTGTTAGAATGATTTCCACTGGCGTCTTCCATGTGTACGTCTTGGCTAATAGACTGTGAGCCGGAGCCTGCGTGACTGGATAAACTGGGATTTGGATCTTTTTGTGTCTCTTCCATCGTCAGCCGTTAAAGTTTCAAGCTTTTTCTCTTAATATTAACGTTAATTTAACGCAACCAGCGTTTGACGTCATGTGAACAAATTTTATCAAAAAAGGATATTTTGTCTGCTAATCTTTTTCAAAATGCCTAACATCTGTCTATTACTATCTCTTTCAAGTATTCTATCTGCTAATCCTCTTCATCCTTTTTTTTTTCATTTAGGGAATAAAATCACGATAAAGATCAATTCTACCCAGCGATACTATATGAAATGGGGCGTGCTGCAACAAAACCAGACAAAGGGAACATGTGAGGTCACCAGTTATTTTTTAAGTCTTTTCTTCAGTGCTCATACTACCATGAATGCACAGTTACTAACACTGTAGGAATTAACCAAAGTGGCGAAATTCGACTGGTGGATCCTTTTACTTTCGCACTGTTCTTGAGAGCTGCTACTTCTTGTTCTTTAGCAGCTAAGTCTCTTTGCAAGCGGTGTAATTGGCTATTATCTTTTTTTACCTCACTGTTTTCTATAACCTTCTGGATCTCGGATTTTGAAAGCTGTTCTGTCCCTTTCTAAACGTAATATTCCTATTGGTAGGAATGTCATCGGGAAAATCACAATCAAGACTTCTTCCCGAATCTGACTACAACATTAAAATCTTTTTTTTTTATTAATAATAGCGTGTCTTACTATATTAAAAACACACAAATGCAGTATAAAGTAATATGTAGTATGGCAAAAACAAGATACTTTGCTAAAAATTTTTTTTTTTTGCAACACCGTATTTTATAAATCCAACCCATTATCGTCCGGTGTACGAGTACACGCGTCTTGAATATAATCTTTCAGATTATTCTCTCCTCAAGTAACTCCTGGTAAATTATATAATAAAAAATTTTGTAAATAAATGTGAGAAACTAATGGAATGCAGTTAATTTAGAATAAAAACAAACCCTCAACTATTCACAATCAGGATCAAAAAGTGATTTTGTACCTATTGATATACGTGTAGTATACGAGATAAGACAATCAAAAATCATTGCCAACAATTAAAATGGATGATACGTACGTAACATGAAACAATATATTATTGATTTTATCAAATTATATGATCTTTAATGCCAAAATATCCTGTTGCTTTTGTTTAATACATAGTACTCTCTTAATAATATGACTTGAAATATAGACGAAAACTTTGTAGATAAGGGCTACATAAAAACACGAATCAACAATAATACGAAATTTATATGGGACTATTTGAACCTCCTGTAAGAATCATTTTGATAAATGTGCTTCTATCTATATCTTACATTCAAGTTCTTTTTTAGCGGTCCACCGTAGCTGTGCCCAATAAAGGACCCACCAAATTTGTTTTTGATGGGCTAGTATTCGCCCAGATTGTTCTCGTAAGTCTGGCATCGTTCAACTTCTGCCATACTAGCCATGCTCTTAAAATGACGACTTTCCCGTTAGCACTGGCACTGTTTATGCTTTAGATTTTCCTAGCACAAATGAGTTCTTGAATCCTTTCAAACCGCTTTTTACCAACTCTTTTGAAATAGAAAAAGTTGTAGGTGGACTATAAAAAGGGTGGGGAAGCAATATTACTAGGTCCCTTGCATTGTTATGATGCAACATGACATCACGCACTTGTGGGTGCTCTCATCAACAATAATTAACAGACTTTGTCAGTAATTGTGCTACTTATATTATTGTTTTCTACTACAATCCTATTCCACGACATGTATAATTTATCCAACAAGAAGAAATCTTTCCATTTTATTTGGCAAGAACTTATGAGCACCTACCTCCCCTTTAACTTACCTACCCGCTGTCAGGTTGGAGATAAGCTGACGAGAGCACCCATGATATTACCATAATACTCACCTGTAACTTTCTACCACGATGATCGCTACAATACCGTCTGCTGAGAAGAAAATGCAAAACATCCATTTTTATTACTTTTGCTGTTCTTATGATTTGGGGTCCCGACAGAGCCAAACTTTATTGTCATTCTTACGAGAAACTGTGAAGAAATGAAACCATGTTTCACTGTAATAATATTTTGAAAGCCCATTGTCAAGAAACTTTTGCTTGTTCTCGTTAGAAAACATGTGAGGGACCCATTTGGCAGGGTACATTTGCAACGCCTAATTAGATACGTGACATATTGACATATAATTATACGACTGTTTATAGATATGCGACCTCTTCCGACAAGGCGGGGGTGAGGCATGCTCCACAAACTTTTTTTTTCTTTTCTATATGCTATTTAATATGTAAATTTGATTCATGAGCTAATAAATAAACAAATAGACAAACAAGTGTTGCTTGTTGACGTACAGGCTAATTTAAAGCAGATCTAACTTTGATTTGGTGTCATTATCCCGTCACTTGTTACTGCTTAATTTGTATGCGTTAATTGGCGTTTCTACATCTCTTCAACGTTTTCCGCTCTATCGATAGTCCAAATCGTATCAGTTCTTATATGCTTTAAAATGAACGTAATAAGATCTTTCATCAATATGAACCTTCAATTATCTGCGGCAGACATTTTACTGCGCGTCCTTCGTACGTTTGTAACAATCAAATCAAGAAAAATTACGCCGTGGCTAAAATTGGGAACTAACGACCGAAATTCTCGTGAATAGGTAAAATTTCTGTTTTGGTGACATACCACAAATTTGTAGAATGTGACATACGGGATTTTTAATTCTCCCGGATATTTTATGCAGATTGCCTAAATGCAGGGGAGAAAAAATTTGACGGGAAAGCGAGGGTTTACGGTATATTAATATGGATTTTCGCCATGTTAAAATTAGGTTCATAAAATGACTCGCTCTTGTGTGATCCACCAAATGAGCTTGCCGTAGTACAATGAGAAAGCTTTACTAGTTGAATATAATACTGGCATAATCTAACAAAGAAACTGCATTGAGTTTTTTTATCTTATTAGCAATTGTTTTACCGAAACGATTATCAGAGAACGTAATCTCGATTATTAGCAGTATATTAGAATTAACATGGGAACTATAAGATTGTTGTACCTCAGTTGGGGATCTGTCTCAGTTCTGAACCGAGACAACTGAGTTCTAGACTGAGTAACTGAGTTCTGAACTGAGACAGGTCCCGAACTCAGACACAACAGATTATATAGCGAAAACTTGAGCTGCTTAAATACCTTAACATTATAACAGATTATTGACATTTAGCCACAAGTATGCAGTTTCTGGTTTGACGTTGCGCCTTCTCTTTAATAGAAGACAGTTTGAAAATAAATCACAAAAGGTTATAAAATTTATTATATACAAATCAAAACTTTACATTTGTTTTGCGACGTAGGTTGGGGGATCCACATTGGGCGAATAATAATGTTTAAACACCAATTCTTTTATCGAGCTCCATGCTATGACACTATCACCAGCTAAATACTGCAACAATGGCAACAGCAAGACAAATTCTACGCCGTTGCCAATATGTCTTTTATTCTCAGTTTTGCCGACAGTTACCTAAACCATCCAGGCTACAACCCACGCCTCAACAAACAGTAAAGCCGCAAGTCAGCAATTAACAATTTGGATATATGCATGGGATACAATGATCATTGTAATTGCCGAATGCATCTAACAATGACTGCTGATTATGATATCTTTCTTTGTAAATGTGCGACGCAACACAATAATTGTTGAGAATGATTGTTATTGAAAAAAACCAAAACCATTTCGTTAGAACATCCAGTACAGTAATTGACAACTTGATACAAATTCCTTAGAAAGTAAACATAAACTACATCAACTTAACTGGATTCCTTACTCGGAAATGGAGCAAGTCAAATTGAGAACGCCTATTAACGGTCCTCGCAATTATATAGTGAAGATAATGCTTTCACTACTTGGAAGTGATGTGAGTGAGTTCGCTACTTCCGACACACAAGTACAATAATACCAGTCAATTTGCACGATATAATGAATGGCTTCAGACCCACAACAAACTTATACACCGAGCATGATAACAACTATTACTTGGTTGCCAATAGACGCTTTTACTATTGCAACTCGACGAGTATCTCAAACTCGGCAAATCATGCCTATTTGGCATTGATGATTGGAGGAAATATGGTGTATACTAATATGGCTTACCTACTATTGCAACTGCTAATTAATTTCACTTGAAATAACGGATGAGACAGATGATTCGTATTATGATAAGGTAAACCATTCAATTCTTAATTATGCATCATGTTTGTTGAATTGTTTATATAGGTTATTGACTTGATATAACATAACAAAACATTTCCACTAGTGATGAGCATCCAGATATTCTGACTAATAGACTCTGAGGAGATAGAATTATGTCTGGCATGTACAGCGCAATTAGAACCTAAGATAAATGCATTCTGTGTAAACAATTAATCAAATAAAAACTATGAACAATAACGAAAATACTAACACTTGAAAATCCTAGAAAATGTATTAATTTGAGAGAATTAAAAATTGGTAATCATGACCAAACAAAATCAAACGAGGAATCTATAATCGCTTTACTGGTTCTTTAGAACCTTACGTGGACTGATTTAGTCCTCGGAATCTGCCTCGCTTGTTTTGTTGACCAAACTGGTATCGTCCAACAATTAAGCCACAAACTCATTACCAAATTTTCAGAAAACATTGTATTATCACGTACGTGATTAAGTATAATGCAAGAACCGAAAATGGGTTTTTCACGATGCTGTGTCTCAAGTCTTTTTATTATGAAAGAATCGAAATGGAAAGGCGATCGACCAACCATGGTTGCACAAAAGACGCATGCCTGTTATGAACACGACATTGATTGCCAACTCTCCTAGGAAATTGTTTTTTGTCTGCTATTTGCCATATGATAATAATAAATTTAACAGACATAAAGCATCTCATTAATAAGCCAGTCTTTTTAACCTTTCGTTGCTTATTAACTGTCACGAATTATCTTTTACCTTTTCTCTGACTAATGTCAAAAAATACACAAATACTTTTTA